AGATGAAGCAGTAATATCCTCTTTTGTAAGTTTAGCTACTAGATTTCCATTTACCTCTGTAGCCGGGATATATTTGAGTTCCAACTCGTCTTCCTGATTTCCCACCACTTCAGCATATGATTTTCGATCAGTAACCGGGGTGACAATCAGATCTACAGGTTCATCCGTTTTAGGGATCTCATCTATTTTTCCACCAGCATCAAATTCTGGGGTCTCTTTTCCACTAGTAGATGGGATCGATGTGTATGATCCTGGTGTTTGTATCTCATTCCCAGTGTTAGGCGTAGATTTCTTCTTTGGTCTTCCCCTTCGTCTCGCCATGGCAAGAGAGAGGCGTTTTTCACATCAAATCAATTATTTTATTGCTTAAACATGAAATGTATGTGCCATTATTTCTTATATAAATATTGTCTCTTAGACTCTTAGTATAGATAAAATAATACGGAGTATAATTAATGAGTCAATATTCATCACAAGAGGAATGGCTTTATTTGAAATTTCCTCCTTTTTTTCATCTTTATCTCATTGTATGTGTAATGAGTCGTAAAAATAACTGATTCTGAGCATTGCAGGGAAAATTGAGTTCCAAAAGCTAGTTCTTGTGTGGAGTTTCAGATAGTTAGCAAGTTCCTTTTAGAAATGTATAACTAGATTAAGTTTGGTTGTTTGAGGGTATTTTGTGTTTGACTGTTAGTTTTTTCTTAATCTAGGAAGATTGCTCATCCGTTGTTTTTGCTTAAAAAATCTAAGCGGTCTTATTTTCTTTTGGACATGCAATTTGGGTCTGGGTTGTGCCCTTTTTATTAGAGATATGACTTGATGTAAAACATCTGAAAACCCAATCAAATAAATTACTAGTAGTAGTCCTTTGATGAAAAAATACTAGTTGAAATAGTTTGGAGAGCGAGAAGATAATTACAAAGGGTTGCTAAATGACTCCCAAGCCCACCAATGCACATTCTAAGTAGTTCGGAACACAATAAGTGAATAGTTGCACAAAACTTTATTAATAGTTGGCTTGTTTTTCTTTGCTTGCAGGTTCACAGATCTGTAGAGATTCTGATAGAAAAGCAAGAACTTGTAGAATCTCAAGACGAGCAGGCAAAGCTTCAGTTTGCACGGAAAGAATCAGCTACAGTTACCAAAAGCAGTTCTCAGCAACATGAAGAAAGAACACCTCGTCAACATTCTTCTTGTGATGCCAAGCAGAACAATAACAATTCTCTTGATTTCAACGGGGAACAACTTTTACTCGCACCTCCACACCAATATCAAGTACCAATAACACAAATCCAACACATCCCACCTCGCATTTCACCCCAAGCCATTTCTCCACATTCACAAGGATACTATCTTACCCCACCTTCCCCTCCTAATCAACAGCTCCTTCAACTGGCTCAAGGTCAATACATGCCAACGACCGATTCTCATTCTCAGAAACACACTATCATGCCACCTCACCCTTCTCTACAAACCCAATCGAATCAGACCTCACATGCTCAATCAGCACCTCCATATCAGCAGCAGTTGTTGCCACATCAGAAACATATTCCGTATCCACCCAGTCAACCAACTCCTTCCCCTGAGATTGTCCCTTATAATATTCCCTTCTCTGGAAGTCCCCAAACATCCCATAACCATCCCGAGGGAATGCTATATGGTAGTAGACCAGGTCAGCAGTTGCATGCTCTTGCTAACCAACATCTCGAGCCTGCATTTGGTGGTCCCGGGGAGGGGTATGGAATTTCTCATGTCATGTACGAAGGTGGTGGTGAAGGAGAAGGAAGGGGACATCGTCCACCCCAACAATCCCATCATGCCTTCCAACAAGGCAGCTATCTTCCTCCACAACTACCATCTGGTAACGCGAATGTGATGGTTCGTCACCCACGACAAATGACGCACAACTTTCTTCACAAGGAGTTGGTCGAGAAAGTGGTGAGCATGGGTTATATGGCCGATCAAGTCATTAACGCGATCCAGAGGCTCGAGGGGAGTGGCCAAGCTGTGGATTTCAATGTTGTGCTTGATCAACTAAATGGGCCGTCCTCTGGAGGAGGCTCTCATAAACTATGGTGAGTAGACCCGTGCCTCTACTGTTCTTTCAATGGTGAACTATATGAATGTTAGGATGTGATTAAAACTTGAATGTGACGTAAAATGATCTAGAGATGCACATTACTATTTGCCTTGTCATCTCTTCCCCAGCTTTTGCACTTTAGTTGTAATATATGAAAATGCTATTCCCTTTTTTCCTGCTATAATGCATACACCTACTTGTTTGATTTATATTCCATTTATGGACTCTTTTTTTTGGAAAACCATTTAGGGACTTTATAGTTTATTCTTACTTTGTCACATGAGGACGGTGTGCCTCAAAAGCAATACATAAAAATACATAAAAATAAAATGGGTACTGATATCCGCACCCGGTTAAACACTAACTTCGCCCCAGTTTAATATTGACTTTTTGACCAAAAATAAAAATGACATGTTTAATCTTATCCCTATAAAATTCACTAAATCCACTCCATAATTCTAATCTAGTGCGGAGTAATACGGATCATAGAGTATTTACAGTTTTTAACGACGTTTGTGCTCTTCATTTTTCATCTCTGCACTTTGGTGTTGTAAATTTTGTTTACCTTCAATGGATGTTGAATCTCTGCACTTTAATCTGTGTTTTTGGCATGAATGTGATGGGTGATTGAAAACTCATTGTCGTCACGCAGATATTCCCTCTATTCTCGAATAAATTATGTATGTTAACTCTACGTAATTTTAAAAAAATGTTGAAAAATAAAAAAATGTTTTGTATATAATTAAAATTTGTGTAGAAGAAGAAGAAAAACTTGTGAGTTACAAGTTTCATTCTTTATTTTGAGACATGGAAAAAATGTTTTATTTATTTGGGACAACGGAAGCATATTTTCAAACCAAAATCAAAAGTATACACATGTCTAATATTTCTTGTCTTAGTGTGTAACTGTTCGAAAGTGTACAAAAGCTCTCCTTTTTTTAAAGTGTCGTCACTCTTTCTCTTTTCCTTTCTTTGAAAAAAGTGGAAGGCCCACCCCGAGCACTCCACACCCCGACCCGACAGAACTGTGAGTGATGTAAATTACGGTATAATCTCAATTTGATCCTTAAAAAAACTGTCTAGTGCCCGATGCGTACAATGAACTATTACAAAGAATAGAACTCTCATACTCACACTATCAGGATTCGATCCTAGGATCAATGAACTTGACATTTTCTCTTTCACATTCCTTTCCTTGAAACCAATGATAGAAGGGGTCTAAACTCAAAAGTCAAACCTACGAAGACGTCAAAATGCCTGCCAACCTGTAAATAGGGGTCTAATACTCCGTAGCACATTAGCACCGGCGTTCTATCCCCTCCTTTGAACAAATTTATAAGACCCATGTTAATCCATTATTATATGGGTTTTTCGTTGTTCTGGTGCTTAACTTATTACTTATAAATAATTTTTGATTTATAAGTTATTTATAAGTTAAAAATTATTTTTTATTAATATAATGACTTAAATGATATATAAGTCATTTAAAGATATTTATAATAGGGTAGAGATAGTTTTGTAAGTAATTTAGTTTAAATAAATAAATGAAAAAACTGACTTAAAAATGAGTAAGCTACCTATTTATTTTTTCTGACTTATAAGTCAACTTATAAGCACATAAAAAAATTCACTATGTATTTTGAGGCATTTAACCAAAAGTACCTTGATGACTAAACCACCGGGGGAGAGAGAGAATGTGTGTGTGTGTAAAGTAGGAGTACTATTAGCTTGAAATTGGATCCTTTAAAACGAGAAGACCTTGGCCTATTTCAACAATACACCTAAGTCAACTCCTCTAACTGATGTTTGTCGCTTAGTAGACGTCATCTGATCTTCTTAGTCTAGTCCCTTTCACCTTGTCGCTATCATCTGGTCCCTATCGTTCAATTGCTATCCTCTCATTTCACTTATCTAATTTATCCTCATCTCTCTGGTTTCACTCTTGAAAAATGAATCTCCCACTAATGAATAACGAGCTCGTGAATATGCTAATTGCAACGTATTGGGAGCAGTTGACTTTAATTTAAACAAAAATCGATATGGAATTGCAGATGTATTTTAATTATATGTATTTTTTAGTTTAAAGAAAGAGACACACAGTTAGCATTTTTATTGTAATTACATTTATTTTATAAGTTTTTAATTAAAATTGAAGAGTAATGTAAAATAAATTTAATTATTTTTATTTTTTAAAATTGTTATAATTGTTTTTATATTTTAATATTATTTATTCATTTTATTATTAGATATTTTTTATTAAATTTATTTATGTTTTTATTTAAAAATGATGATTAATGTAAAATAAATAAAGAGGTGAGACAAAAGAAGGTAGCATTGCATATGTTTTAGTCTAATGCAAGAAAAGATGATAATAATGATCTAGAAAGAATTGAGAGGTGGTTAAAAGGCACCCATTGTGAATCTTCTAAGAGCACTATGAGTGGCAACACAAAGTTTTGCCATGTCTTGCTATATCATATATTTTTCCACTATTTGTAAGGAAATTTTAGGCTTCCCATCCCTCTTTGTGTGGCATATATGTACTAATTTTCTCTCAGTTTTTCTTTTTTAATTTTCTATTTCTACTTCTATTTTGTTTTTTCATTGTATAGAAGAATTTTTTTTAAAAAGAAAAAGTTGAAGTATTCATTTGAAAAAATAATTAAAATAATTTTTTAACAACTAAAATACATAAAAAAATATAAAAATTAACAAAAACTGTCACAGAGAACAGAGATTCGTTTCACTATGTTCAACTCATTTCGTTTCAAATGAGTTGACAGAGATTCGTTTCACTATGTGAAACTCATTTCGTTGAACTATGTTCAACACTATGTTCAACAACGAACACTTCTGACACATTAACTAGTGAAACTCTTTTTTATTACTTATAAATTATAATATACCACCTTTTGTGAATTTTGAGCTTGGAGCTTGTTTGACCGTTAATAATGCACTTTGTCTTTGCAGCTTAGTCCCCAACACTTTTGCCAATTTCAAAATCACACCTCACGCGCTTTCGGCCCAATCCGCCACCACCCCCTCCGGTCTTCGGCCGCTTATCCGCCCCAAACAAAACAAAACCACTGCAAGACCACCACCCTAAGCCACCATTCCGAGATCTCTCTCTCTGCAAATGTGACAATGACTTCCCGGCAGCGCCCTCCGCCGCCGCCTCAGCAAGGCCCGGCCAGACACCAGCGCGCCCAATCTAATGAGCAACCTTACAACATCATCCCGATCCATAACCTACTGGCGGACCACCCTTCTCTCCGTTTCCCGGAGGTGCGTGCCGCGGCTGCTGCTCTCCGTTCGGTCGGAGACCTACGGAAGCCGCCGTTCCTTCCGTGGCAGCCACACTATGATCTGCTCGACTGGCTCGCCCTCTTCTTCGGCTTCCAGGCTTCCAGTGTCCATAATCAGAGGGAGCACCTTGTTCTGCACCTCGCCAACGCCCAGATGCGGCTGACCCCTCCTCCTGACAACATCGATTGTCTAGACCAGGGGGTTCTGCGCCGCTTCCGCCGCCAGCTCCTGAAGAGCTACTCATCATGGTGTTCCTTCCTCGGCCTCAAATCTAATGTCTGGCTTGTGGAGCGCCACACCTCCTCCTCCTCCTCCTCTGACAACCGCCGAGAGCTTCTCTATGTTTCCCTTTACCTCCTTATCTGGGGTGAGTCTGCTAATCTCCGCTTTGTCCCTGAGTGTATTAGCTATATTTTTCATAACATGGCCATGGAATTGAACAAAATTTTGGAGGATTACATAGACGAAGACACAGGCAGGCCGGTTTTGCCCTCTATTTCGGGTGAAAATGCCTTTCTGAATAGGGTCGTCACGCCCATTTATGATACAATACGAGCAGAGGCTGAAAAAAACAGAAACGGCACTGCCCCACACTCTGCTTGGAGGAACTATGATGATATAAACGAGTATTTCTGGACTAAGAGGTGCTTTGAGAAGTTGAAGTGGCCAATTGATATTGGCAGTACATTTTTTGTGACTACAAACAAGGGGAAGAAGGTAGGGAAGACCGGGTTTGTGGAGCAAAGGTCCTTTTGGAACTTATATAGGAGCTTTGATAAGCTCTGGATCATGCTTGTTCTCTTCCTCCAGGCCGCAATCATTGTGGCTTGGGAGGGAGACGAGTATCCCTGGCAAGCTTTGAAGCGCAGGGAGTTGCAAGTGAAGGTTTTGACCGTGTTCTTCACATGGAGCGCGTTGAGGTTCTTTCAGTCATTGCTTGATATCGGGATGCAATACAGACTGGTTTCAAGGGAAACTCCATTGCATGGAGTGAGAATGGTTCTGAAGGTTATGGTTTCAGCTGGATGGATTGTGGTTTTCGGTGTATTCTATGGAAACATCTGGACCCAAAGAAACAATGGCCGGAGGTGGTCGGGAGAGGCCAACAGGAGGTTGTTGAATTTCCTTGAGGTCTGTTTGGTTTTTGTTGCCCCGGAGATTTTGGCTTTGATCTTCTTTATTCTTCCCTGGGTTCGGAATTTCTTAGAAAACACCAACTGGAAGATATTTAACTTGATGTTATGGTGGTTCCAGAGCCGGGCGTTTGTGGGTCGAGGACTTAGGGAAGGGCTTGTGGATAACATAAAGTACACCCTCTTCTGGGTTTTTGTGCTTGTTTCTAAGTTCTCCTTCAGCTACTTTTTACAGATCAAACCCATGATATCTCCAACAAAGACACTTTTACGTCTTAGGAATGTGGAGTATGAATGGCATCAGTTTTATGGTAACAGTAACAGGTTTGCCATTGGATTGATTTGGCTTCCTGTTGTTCTGATCTACCTTATGGATATACAGATTTGGTACGCCATCTACTCTTCCTTTACCGGTGCAGTGGTGGGATTATTTGACCACTTGGGCGAGATTAGGAACATGCAGCAACTGAGGTTGAGGTTTCAGTTCTTTGCGAGTGCCATTCAGTTTAATCTGATGCCAGAGGAGCAGTTACTAAGTACCCATGGAACATTTAAGAGCAAGTTCAAGGATGCCATTCACCGATTGAAACTCAGATATGGATTTGGTCGGCCATTCAGAAAGCTTGAGTCTAATCAGGCAGAGGCTAACAAGTTTGCATTGATATGGAATGAGATAATCTTAACGTTTAGGGAAGAAGATATCATCAGTGATCGAGAAGTTGAGTTGCTGGAGTTGCCCCAGAACACGTGGATTGTGAGAGTGATTCGTTGGCCATGTTTACTGCTTTGCAATGAGCTTTTGCTTGCTCTCAGCCAGGCAAAGGAGTTGGTGGATGCTCCTGACAGGTGGCTTTGGTCTAAGATCAGCAAGAGTGAATATAGGCGGTGTGCAGTTATTGAAGTGTATGAATGTACCAGACACTTGTTGTTGGAGATTGTTGAGTTACACAGCGAAGAACATTCCATCCTTACAACTTTCTTTCAACAGATCGACGAATGGGTTAAGCTGGAGAAGTTCACCAAACACTACAACCTAACTGCACTTCCCCAAATATGTGACAAACTGAATGCTCTTCTCGATTTGATTCTCAACCCTAAACGGGATGTTGACAAGGTGGTCAATGTTCTCCAGGCCATGTATGAGATTGCCACTCGAGATTTTCTCAAGGAGAAGATGACTGGAGATCAGCTAAGAGAGGAAGGTCTGGCACTTCGTGCTGATGTGAATAAACTGCTTTTTGAGAATGTGTTAGTGTTTCCCGATCCTGACCGTGATACCTTTTACCGTCAGGCTCGGCGCTTGCGAACCATTCTCACATCTCGTGACTCTATGAGCAACATTCCAAGAAATCTCGAGGCAAGGCGTCGGCTTGCCTTCTTTAGCAACTCTCTTTTCATGAACATGCCACATGCACCTCACGTTGAGAAAATGAGAGCTTTTAGTGTTTTGACCCCATACTACAATGAAGAAGTGTTGTACAGTAAGGAACAGCTCCGTACTGAGAATGAAGATGGTATTTCCACTCTCTATTACTTGCAGACTGTTTATGCTGACGAGTGGGAAAATTTCTTGGAAAGAATGCGGCGAGAAGGGATGGTTGATGAGAGAAAAGAGTTGTGGTCAGATAAGCACAGGCTTAAGGATCTTAGGCTTTGGGCATCGTACAGGGGTCAGACACTTTCCAGGACGGTTAGGGGAATGATGTACTATTACAGAGCTCTTAAGATGCTTGCCTTTTTGGATTCAGCATCTGAAGTGGATATCAGGGAAGGATCACATGAGCTTACTTCTTTGAGGCCTGGTTCAATCTCAGAAAGGGCACCTTCTTCTAGAAGCTTGAGCAGAGCAGAATCAGCAGATAGTTCAGCGAGTATGATGTTTAAAGGTCATGAGTATGGGACTGCTTTGATGAAATTCACGTATGTGGTTGCGTGTCAGATTTACGGTACTCAAAAGGCCAAAAGGGATCCCCGTGCTGATGATATCTTGAAGCTGATGGAAAACAATGAAGCTCTTCGTGTTGCTTATGTTGATGAGGTTGTGAAAGGAAGAGATGAGATCACAGAGTATTACTCTGTGCTGGTGAAGTATGACCAAATGCTAAAGAAGGAAGTGGAGATCTATCGAGTAAAGCTCCCTGGTCCATTGAAATTGGGGGAGGGAAAACCCGAAAATCAGAACCATGCTCTTATCTTTACCCGGGGTGATGCAGTCCAAACAATTGATATGAACCAAGACAATTACTTTGAGGAGGCACTGAAAATGAGGAATCTTTTGGAGGAATTCAAGCACTATTATGGCATTCGAAAGCCAAAAATTTTGGGAGTCAGGGAGCATATCTTTACCGGTTCGGTTTCATCCCTTGCTTGGTTTATGTCGGCTCAGGAAATGAGTTTTGTCACTCTGGGTCAACGTGTCTTGGCAAACCCTCTAAAAATCCGAATGCATTACGGGCACCCCGATGTGTTTGACAGGTTCTGGTTTTTAACTCGCGGAGGGATTAGCAAAGCATCTAAAGTGATCAATATTAGTGAAGATATATTTGCTGGATTTAACTGCACACTGCGCGGTGGTGATGTCACCCACCATGAATACATCCAAGTTGGCAAGGGAAGGGATGTGGGATTGAATCAAATAGCCATGTTTGAGGCCAAGGTTGCCAGTGGTAACGGTGAGCAAGTTCTAAGCAGGGATGTTTATAGGTTGGGCCATAGGCTTGACTTCTTCAGAATGCTTTCGTTTTTTTACACAACCGTCGGGTTTTTCTTCAACACAATGATGATTGTTCTTACAGTTTATGCATTCTTATGGGGAAGACTTTACCTGGCACTCAGTGGGCTTGAGGGTTCTGCCACTTCAAGTGACACAAATAACAACAGAGCGCTCGGTACGATTCTGAACCAGCAGTTCATCATTCAGTTGGGTTTGTTCACTGCTTTACCAATGATTGTGGAGAATTCTCTTGAGCACGGTTTTCTCACTTCTATCTGGGAATTCATAACAATGCAACTCCAGTTGTCTTCTGTGTTTTACACTTTCTCAATGGGAACACGGGCCCACTATTTTGGCCGAACTCTTCTTCACGGTGGTGCGAAGTATCGAGCAACTGGGCGTGGATTTGTGGTACAACACAAGAGTTTTGCTGAAAATTACAGACTTTATGCTCGTAGCCACTTCACCAAGGCAATTGAACTTGGGCTCATACTTACAGTATATGCTTCATACAGCCCTGTAGCAACCAAAACCTTTACATACATAGCTTTGACAATATCAAGTTGGTTCCTGGTGGTCTCGTGGATCTTGGGTCCTTTCGTGTTCAATCCTTCTGGTTTTGATTGGTTGAAAACGGTGTATGATTTTGACGAGTTTATGAACTGGGTATGGTACCGAGGTGGTGTTTTTGCAAAAACTGAACAGTGTTGGGAAAAATGGTGGGATGAAGAGCAGGATCATTTAAGAACGACAGGTCTGTGGGGGAAGATACTGGAAATGATTCTAGACCTCCGCTTTTTCTTTTTCCAGTATGGAATTGTGTATCAGTTAGGAATTGCTTCCGGAAGCAAAAGCATTGCGGTTTACTTGCTTTCGTGGATTTATGTGGTAGTGGCCATTGGGATTTACTCCATTATAGCTTCTGCCCGTGACAAGTATGCTGCAAGAGAACACATATACTACCGTCTGGTTCAGTTCCTCGTTATCATTCTTATCATAATATTAGTAGTTGCCTTGCTCCAGTTCACGGATTTCAAATTTGTGGATATATTCACTAGTCTTCTCGCTTTTGTTCCCACTGGGTGGGGTCTACTCTCTTTCGCACAAGTGCTACGCCCCCTACTGCAAAACACTTTTATGTGGGGGACAGTTGTTGCAGTGGCAAGATTGTATGAAATCATGATTGGAGTGATTGTGTTGATACCTGTGGCGCTCTTGTCATGGCTGCCTGGATTCCAACCCATGCAGACAAGGATCCTATTCAATGATGCTTTTAGCAGAGGCCTGCGGATTTTCCAGATTGTGACTGGGGTGAAACCAAAGCGTGACGTCTGATCCAGACAGGTATGCTGTGAACCTTTTGCAGTTAATTAATACAGTATTAAGTTTACTGTTTTTTGTAAACGTTGTCAACATCACACACTGTTGTTTAGTGCAAACTTTTTATATCAATGTGGAATTTCTTAAGGAATCTGGAAAGTACTAGGGAAATAAATTATGAAGGTTAATAGAGATCAAAGTTGAAAGAAAAATGAAAGATACATTCAGACTAAAAATATTATTAAGATACAGAGTATATTTGTTCAAATTCATTTTATTTTCCTTATTCATATTGGATAAAATGGATAAATATAAATATTAGTAACACATTTTTAAATATTTGCACTTCATTTTCTATTATACTTTCTATGGTAAAACTGAAAATTTTTCCTTAGCATTTTTGTCATTTCCTGAGTATTATCCGGCACATAGTTACAGAATTCGTACCCCCAGCCTCGATTTCCGAATTGGTACGAATTGTACCCAATCGCAATTCGCCAGCGACCCGATCGGCACCGGTACGGCAATCCAAATCGCCATGGTACGGCGCTCCAATTCGCGAAGGTACGGCGATCCAGATCCCCTCGAACGTCGCACCAAGTCGGAGAATGTGGAGTGCCAATCGCCGGCGGTCTAGCGATCCAAATCGCAATTTCGTTTCTTCCGCGACCTTCCCTCTTCCAATCTGCGATTGTTCTCTCGGTAAATTTAATTCGCGATTGCACTTCCCCAAAGTGTCGTGTGAGTCGTTCCCAGTCTTGATTGCACTTCCCTAAAGTCTCGATTGTTTCTCGATTGTTCTGTGACTTCTCTCCGTAAGAGTTTCGTGTTTTCCTAGGCAGTATCCTCATATATATATATATATATATATATATATATATATATATATATATTCACCACAACCCAACCTAAAGTCCTCAATATCCAGTAATTTTTTCTCTCTTTTTTAAATGGCTTTTGGCAAAAAAAAATAAAGCCCATAATGTCTTGTTTTTCAATTGGATTTTGTAATGTTATGCACTTATGCTCATATCTATTTTTGTTTACTTATGTTTTGACTTTTGGTACGCCGAACCGAATACATGGTACACCGTACCGCTTCGTACCGCTTCGTACCGAAATGAACCTACCCCCCTTCGTACCGAATTCGTTACCTCTAGCGAATTTCGTACCCGTACCGCGTAGCCGTACCGAAACGTACCGCGATTTATGTGACTATGATCCAGCATTCAAACATCTAACAACAGATAATCTTCCTCAATCTTTAATTTCTTTAAATAAATACGGAGTATTTAAGTTCTCCGTTTAGAAATTTGAAAGCTGCTCATCAAATCCATCACATATATGTGATCGATATTGTTGCTTATAAAGTTAGAGGCTTAAAGTTCACTTTGGATTCCAAAACTCAAGCTTTGGATTACTAAATTTTATGTCCAATATATACCCCATTTAAATAGTACCTTTATTCATGTTATTGTTGTGCAAAGCTGGTAGGTATTACTATGTTCATTTACTTTGCTGCACAACTTTTCTTATCCTTTGACGCCGTTTTTATACTTCAAATATTCATCATTTATGTTTCATCTAAATATTAAAATATAGTCCTTGCTCTCCTTGGTTACTGGGCTTATTCATCTCTGACCATTGTTCCTTTTATCTCTATACCCGATAGATACACTGCTAAATCTCTGAATGAAGGATTGCTCCGTAGACTTGTGCTCTCCAATGCATGTTCTGATAATTAAGGTGTGATATTAACAACCTTTTATTTATTATTATTAGCTTTTGCAATCACACATTCACACTATGCCTCTTTGTTTGTTTTGGTTTGGCTTGGTTTATTTTTGGGTACCCTACTAGAATATCCAGTAGTTGGAGGGGGCTTATTTGTTTCGGTTTGGTTTAATTCTGGGACTTATAGGATGTATTACAATCCGTTTGGTAGCCATAATTAGCCAAATAAGGAGAGTAAATACCATTTGACTTAATTATGTTGCTGAATTTTCTCAAAAAAAAAATATACTATATGGTTGAAATGTGTTACCCTCCCAGAAAATTCAGCGCAGTGGGAGACTCATTTCATTATCTTAACCGTTCCAACCAAATTAACTCTTCCCAAACTGATATGGTATAAAAGGGATCTTGGGCCTGTAAAAGTCTAAAATGTAGGCGCTCACAATTTTTACAATCAATAGACTTACCTCATTATGTGTGTGAGTCTGTGAGAGACAAAGATTGTTTGTGCATTATTGTGTTTGAGAGACTTGTGATGTCAACCTTGGTGTCATTAGTTGTGTTCGTGTAAAAATATCCATCAATGAAACAATTCTCTGGCAACTTGCAGTGCTTTTCATTTTATATTTATTATTATTATTATTATCATCATTCTAATTATTATTATTACAATTGTTATTATTATATGACATGTTGATGGTAAGAATCCTCTATGGGTTACAGATTCTTTTTTGTTGGTGGGATAAAGAAGTGGATGCAGTAAGTAGTGAACAAAGAGTTTAGATTTCACCATTTTCCATTTGTAGATGATTTTACCATAGAGGAGACGCTTAGAAATGCTGCTTCAATTTATCTTTAATCAGTCTGATTTTGTTTATGTAATGTGAGACGAGGGGTGTTCCCTACATATTTTGCTCGGGCACCCTTCACGTCCCCGAGCATTGTAATTATTCTTCATTCTTGTTTTGGTAATGCTAGTAATCTTGGTGGGTAATTTCTTGGGGAGAATCCTGTTGTGAGTTTTGGTCGTGATTAATTTTTTTTGGAAGTTCATTTATTTGGGCTCTTTTATTGTAATGATTATTGGGAAATGCTTGGTTCACAAACACAATGATCACAAACATCACAAACTTTCTATTTGTGAACTTCAATGAAAAAATAAATAGTCTAAAGTTATTTTAAAATGAAATTTCAAACTATAAATAGTAAGTTTGTGAAGTTTGTGAATATTCTGTTTGTGAACCTAGCATTATTTACTTGGTATATATTTACAGTGACTTTAGGAGTACATTTATGACCCAACTTTCACCTCACCTCTTGATATCTCAACACCTACCAACTAGGGAGCACTATTGTCTCGAATTAATTTGTTTACTTTGATTTCATGAAGATTAAAGAAATGTTAAAAAGATGTGAAGTAGTAAAAACAAGAGTGGTTAGAGTTTGTTTAAAAAGGAGAAAATATTTTCAACCATATAATTAATTCTAAAAAAGAAAATGAGAAAATTGAAAAAATCATTTTGATATAATGAAGACTGCCGGTGGACCATCAGTCAATTGCCTACGTCACGTTGGCCAATGAAGGTGGGCGACCGTGGGAGATGATAATGTGGCGTCGAGAAATGAGTGGTGGTGATTGACAATAAAATTGTGGACTTCTACTTAATTCTTAGAAAATTTCTTGGTATTTTTATCCTCATTTAGTCATACTCCCTCTGTTCCATTTTATAATGTCTGTTTCAGTTTACGATGTTTGACTGGAATTACTTTCGAATCATTTTATATGACAATTGGTATAGAGTTAAAATTCTAGATCAAAAGATCTACAAAACTAGTAGTGACAATAATATTTTATTTTATTAAATTGCTAACGAAAATAGAGAAAGAAAGTAAATAAAGTTTGACCTTGTGAATAGTAAACAAACATTATAATTTGAGACGGAGGAAGTATTATTAAGGAAGTTCTCCTTAGAAGTTTACACATAAATATTAGGCACCATAACTAGCAATTCTTTTTGTCAATCAACAATCCTTCATATCCTTTTAATATTTTCCCACAAAATATCCTTTTAATATTTTCCCACAACAAGCCAAATATGTAAATCCCTTAAGACCTGTAGGCGTTGCATAATTTACAAGACAAGGTAATATTTAATGTCTATGAGAAGAGGAGAATAAAGGGTAGAAACTGTCCACCTTATGTTTAATTATATATTTGCACTTTACTTTTTGTTATTGGCAGTCTAAAACAATTATTAATGTGAGAGTGAATAATGTAATTTGTAGTGCCGATAAAAAAAATAGAGTGCAAATATTATTTCCCTATTTTAGAGAATCTTGTTTGGAATTTCCTAGTTTGAGTTTATTTTTTACACTAAATTTTTTTGTAGGTCAACAAACTGAATCACACTTCATAATAATCCTTCCGCCCCAAAACACTTTCTTCATTTCATAAAGTAATTATGTCATCACTTTTTTGGTATAATTTCTAGTGTATGTTTTTAATGTATATTATTTATATTTACACCAATTTTCCATTATATTAGTTTGATAAAAACTTCGGTCAAAATTCATAAATGAAGAAGGACCGAGGGTGCAAATAAATACAAAAAAATTTATTTACATGAAAAACTTTACAAATTACAACTATTTTTAAAAAATCAGAAATGTTAATTTCAAAATTATAAATTTGTGAGTATATTTCTAGTTTTATTTATTATATTTTCATACTAGATAATTTAAAAAATATTTTTCATATCTAATGAGTTTTTATTTAAAAAATGGACCAATTTGAAAAATACTAATCAAAGACTTATTTTGTGAAATTACTACTCCCTCCGTCCTAAAACCTTCTTCCCACTTCCCCTTTTTCTCCGTCCTAAAACTACTTTCCCATTAGAAAAAAAGATGACAAATGACATTAATACCCTCATGTATTTACACCAATTATCTTCTAACTCTATATTTTGAATGATTGCAAAAAAAAATTCAAAAAATCTTTTTTAAGGAGGGTAAAATTTGAAGTCAAAGCCAAAAATTAAAAATGGAGAAAAGTCAAACTGAGAAGAAAGTTTTAGGACGGATGAAGTATGTGTTCGGCGACAAAGATTACCAAAATACATAATCCGTACTTCGTATCATTTTAATGTCATTTTGATTAGGGGTGAGTGTGGTACGGTATGATACGGTATTTAGCTCGTACCGATACTGTACCAAATATTTCGGTTTGGTATGAGATTTTACGTTGTACCGATCTCGATCCCGATGCATCGGTTCGGTATCGGTTTCGGTACGAATCGAGATGAATATATACGTACCTAGTTTACATCATAAAGTGTAAAAGAACTTTTTATGTTTGAAAAATTGAATGTACATTTAACCAAAGAAAGATAAAAAATTTAAAAATGAAAAAATAAACTGCAAGAAATGCTTATGAAAGTTAGTTTATATTTACAAACTAAAGAGAACGAGTGATAACAAAATATTATTTCAAATATTTGTTAATATTCTTATACTCATCTACAAAAAATAAAAAACTCTTAATAAAGTGCAACTTAAACATAATGAAAATAAACTAAATTGTCTGTATAATTTTTTTTAGTTAATGAAGAAATATAAAAAGATTATTATTTTATAATCCGTAATATATTAGTATATATGTTCGGTTTGGGAATTTCGGTATTGGAAGTAACCTTGTACCGTTCCCAAATACCGGACCGAGCGTTCGGTTCGGTTTCTTTTTGGTACTTTATCGGTTCAGTATTTTTCGGTTTGGTATTCTCGGTTTTTTCAGGAAATATCGGGATCGGTTCAGTCCTTGTTCACCCCTAATTTTGATGGACTGTTAATCAATGAATTTATCTAAATACTATTCTCAATTAATGAATATTACTCTGTAACTAATTCATCTTAGGGGTAACTACCTAATTACTCCCTCCGTCCTAAAACTTTCTTCCCAGAGCACTATTCCAACTTCACGGGAATTGATATTTATTTGTGTTTTTTCATGGTCTATATGATAAAATGAAATATTCTTGTCACCACTTGTTTTTTTGAATTTTTGATGTAGTTTTTAAATATGTATGTTTTATTTTTTATTTCTATACCAATATTTAAATAAAATTGATTAAAAAAACTTGAGATTTTTCTTTGTTTTGTGCAACACGGAGGGAGTATAAAGTTTCTTTTGAAAATTGAAGAAAATCTCCTAAATAGGAGTAAAACATTAGGCTTATACCTAATATAGGAGTCCATAAGTTATATACCCAAAATAGGAGTTCCTTAATCCCTTTATTAACCTGCCTCTTTGGACTGATCAATCTCTGCTCTTTCTTCCGCTCCCTCTCTTACCACGACCACAACCACCATTTTCTCTCTCTTAGCATGTACTGGTGTGTTTTATTTCCAGTTCTTACTCAACTTCTAGTGCTTAATGTTTTTTTCATTTGTTTATGCTTCGATCATTTTTTTTTGAATTAGAAATCAACCTATTCTTAAAAGCAGGGGAATTATGCCCCATGCTTTTTTCCGCCCATTTGCCAAGCCTTATGAGCCATTGATATTTGCCAATCTATGCATCTACGACCCATATTTACAGCGCATGAAAAGGAGAAAAAAAGGAAATAAGTACTAAATAAGTACCGCAAAAAAGGCTTTAGAAGGAATCACATTTATATACGATATTAAAATAATTACACAATTTTATATCTAAATTACTAATTAATAATTTGTAACGAAAAAATTAATTTATTCCCACGGAAATGATTGGTTACATTTAAAAAAAGAATCCGGGTATATTTAATAAATAAACAGTATAAAACGGAAATTATTAATAATTTAGATTCAACGTGTTAGATGCCTTGGTAAAAAATAATTAATAATTTGTAACGAAAAAAATGAAAATAATTAATAATTTGTAACGAAAAAAGTATTAATTATTCTGAAACACATTTATACAATATTGTAAGATAATTCATACGTATTAAATATATCACATAAAAAGGCTTTAAAAGGAAACACATGTATACAATATAATAATTAGATAGTTTCATTTTTTGGAATGCATAAGTACCGTATTCTTAAAAAGGGAATCAAAAGAAAGTTATTTAAGGAATTAAGTGATTACAAAAAGGAAATCGGTATATATTAAATAAATACCGACAAATAGAGATGGCAGCAGCAAACTATGACATCACATATTGATCATATCCTCGAAACAGAAGTTCAAACTTAAATTTCTCTAAATAGGAGTAATTAATTAAATATTCCATATATGTTTTGATTAGCCCTGGCCGCAAAAACAACTCTCCTTGCGATCAAGAATCCATTCAATGTCACCTTTCCTTGCGATCAAGAATCCATGCATGGCAATCAACAACTAAATTGGTACCAATTCTTTCAACCACATGGATAAGTTTGAATTTGATTTTATGTTCAATTTGAAATAAGAGGTGACATTCCTTTTCAATTGTGAAATTTACTTTTTAGGTATTTTTTTAAATTAGTATTGAAACTGAATGATTATGGTGTTGGCAAATAGTAGAATTCCTTGACATGTACTCCTTTTTAACATTATATATCGACATATCTTTCATTATACATTGTCAAGAATGACATTATACAATGTCAAGGTTGACATTATCTATTTAATTTGTTTAGCATTATACATTCGCATGTATGCCATTATACATTGGCATGATTGCCATTATATGATTACATGTGGCATTTAGTATGGTCCTTTTGACACTGTATTGAGAATGTGTACTTATATATTAAAGGTGAAAAACATGTCATTTAAATGAATTTAGGTGTTATAAATAAAATTTACTGGAAGGATTAATATATTTGTGGTAATGTGGCTCATTCAGTAAGATCAAATTAAAATGGATTTGATAATCCACCGCTGCAAAACGTATCCGGATAGTTTCACCTTGAAGATCGGCGCAAAAACAAAAACAATCCTCGAAGGCGTCTGCCTCGGGGACAACATTGCGGTCAACGGCACATGTCTCATCGTCAAGAATTCGACACTGGATCGTCCGGATTCTTGGCCGGCGTGGCTCCGAAGACCCTGCGGAAGACCTCCCTTGGAGAGCTGGAACGCGGATCTCGAGTCAATTGGAGAGGGCTTTGACGCCGAGCACTAGGATGGGAGGTCACATCGTGCAGGGACATGTAGACGGGACTGGAGAAATTGCAGGGTTTGAATCTGAAGGGGACTTGTTGTGGGTGAGGGTGAAAAAGAGGAAGCGGCTTTTGAGGTGCATTGTCCCCATTGCCGTGGATGGGGTTAGTACTACACAGTACCAAAGGATATGCACCTACATTTACTTCTATTTAGTGGAGTTTAAGTTTCAAATCCTATTTTTGAATATGATATTTGTTTTACTCCTATTTTGGTCCATCTTCCTTTAAAATTTACTCCTTTTTTACACTAGTTTTTAGAAATAAAAAATGCTCGAGTTTGGTGTCAAAATAGAGCCAAATTCAAAATCAGGGAGAAAAAGAATTTTTGTCAACATATCCGACATGTCCCACGTCTATTCTTGACACGACTGAGCAGAGTTTCTTCTAGCAGTACTCCTCTGTATAACTGAAGTCTACATGTCCGTTTCAGACTTGGCAAGAGAGGAAGAAGATGGAGGCGGCTCTGCTGAGCGGAGAGGGCGGCGGAGGCGATTCCAGGTTCAACAGGAGAGGCGCGTTCCACCGTCGCTCTGATGCTATCGTCTACGGCTCTTCTTACCAGAAGGCCGCTGCTCTCGTCGATCTCGTACGCGGCGGATTCATCATCCCCACCATTTCTTCGAAACTTTTTTTTTTGAATTTTAAAAATATTACCTGGAAATGGATGAGCATTGAACTTGGGAAATTGTATTTATTCCTCATTTTAGTCCAAATGTCTCATAGCCCAATTGAATGATCCTAACCCTTCTATTTTACAGGCCGAAGATGGAGTGGGTATACCGGAGGAAATCCTTGATCAATCCAACTTCTCATCTGTTGCAAACTCATACTTCATTTTTACTAAATTTGATTTACTGTGGTCTGTGAATTATTTTGCTCTTGTCGTCCTCAACTTCCTTGAGGTGCGAATGTTTCACAATTTGATTGTTGTTGGCTTATGTGGTTGTTGTTTCTCTAGTTATATGGTCTGCTATTGGCTGAATTGCAGAGGCCACTATGGTGTTCCAAGCCGTCGTTGCATTCTTGTAGTGATAGAGAATACTACTTTCTAGGGCAGCTTCCGTACTTGACAGCCACTGAAGCTCTGGTTTATGAGGTCTGATTAACAATAATAATAAATGTATTCAAAGGTTTGGATTAGGTTCACCATTATTATGGAGTAACATGCATAAGAAATATGAGTTGGTTACTTGGATGATGGGATTTGTCTAAGAATTTCATAGCAAGTTATATGTGAGCTTTCTCACTCTGTCTCTCTTTAATCTTTCCAGGTTGTTACCCTTGTAATTCTCATGGCCCATATTTTGTATCCAATATCATATGAAGGCATTCAGATCTACTGGAAAAATGTCATCAATGGGCTGAAGGTGGTTAGCTCTACTCTTTGAAATCACGTCGTCTTCTTCATTTTTGTGTCATAATGCCTCTATATGGTTCTGACTCTTCACTCAGGGGCTGCATCATCTTGTAATACTGTTAGGACTTTGGAACCAAGGAGGAATTGAATATGAAAAATAGGATAAAACCTATTAAGAGCAAGGATATCACTCAATAACTTTCGATAGCCAACCAAGTAAAATTCCAATTGAAAGTAATAATTTATTCAATTTTAATGATGAAAAGTACTGGAGATACATAAGACTATCTATAGTCTCTGGTTACAACCGGAAAATAGAAAAGCAGAAAATCCTTGCAAACCAGGGATGATAACATGCTAACCTTATCATACACACGACAACAATACATTAAACTCCTAACATACTAAAATATCCCAACAATTAAGAATTAATAAAATATTCCGTGCTAAGTGCTAACTAGGATTACTATCAGTTACTCATTTAAATTTTTTTTCTTTTGGTGCTTATTCTATGGTTGCAATGATATTTTTATTTCTAAAGCTATTTTCTCCTTGAATTCTAGGTTACAATGCTGTTAGCTTTGATTCTGGATCAGTTGGCATATGTTTTGGCTTTAGCCAGAATATATTATCTTCCATTCAGAGCTGCACCATATCTCCGTGTTGCCTTTTTCATTTTAAATATCAGGTACTATCCGTAATATTTTGATGTTGATTACTTACTGCCAAATGTGGACCAGTACAGTTTTTGTGTTATTATTATTATTATTATTATTATTATTATTATTATTATTATAACTATGGCTTCAGTAGGTAGTGCAAAATATTTTCATCATCGAACACTAGATACCCTTTTTTGGATTTACAAAACAGTGGAACACTTCAAAATTGGGTTCAGCATGATTTGCATACTCTCTCTATCCTTTGATACCCCATAATTCTTATAGTTTGGTTTAATTTTATAGTAATTTTTGTTGGCTCCTTCGTTTTTTTTTGTTGAATATGTCAGTGAATGGCCTGTTCTGGACTTTTATGGTGAAAAGATAAAAGATATCCATATTGGCTAACCAGTGTGTTGCTTTTTTTTTTACCTAGGGAGTTAAGAGACTGCATCTACATCCTTGCTGGAATGTCTCGTACCTATCTCAATGTTATGGTTTGTCTGCAGCAATAAACATTTGATACAATTCATAACAAGTTGCGTCTTATAATTTTTTTCCCTAAAAAAACTGTTTTTCTTCCCATTCACACTCTCTTAAAGCTCTATTCCCTATACTATGCAGGTTCTGTCACTTCTATTTCTTCTATTCTCTAGCTGGTTAGGATATGTCATCTTTGAGGACACCCTGCAGGGGAAGACCATATTTACTTCATATGGCACAACTTTGTATCAAATGTTTGTTTTATTTACCACTTCTAACAACCCAGATGCGTGGATTGCAGCATACAAGCAAGTTCCTTATTTTGCAGATTTATACCCAGTAATTCATCACTGTTGCTTGTTTTAAAGCTTAGTCAATCACCAATCAGTCACTTATGTTTTGTCTAATTTAGGGATTCTCGATGGTATTGCCTGTTTTTTGTTCTCTATGTGCCATTGGGCGTGTACTTTGTCACAAACTTGATCCTTGCTGTTGTGTATGATTCTTTCAAGAGTGAGGTATAATTTCCAATATCTTATTCTTAGTCTTCAACCATTTATATACTGATAAATCATTGTAAGGGTGTGTTTGGTGAACAAAAGTGATATGGGTTCTGGTATACTCCCTCTGTCCCTCATAGATCTTCCCATTACCCCTTTTTATTTGTCCGCCATAAATCTTCTCGTTATCTATTTTAACACACAAAATACCCTAAATACCCCTCTTCTATTTCTCTTTCTTTTTTTCTCCATCTCTCGTCCGCCACTTTCTTACTATCTTTTTCTTTCTTCGTTTCTTTTTCCCCCCCTATTCTTCTCTGCTGCCAGATTTCTTCTTCCCTTTTCCCTTTCTTCTTCTTCTTTTCTTCTTTTCTTTGTTTTTCTTCTTCTCCTTTCTTCTCTTTCGTCTTCTTCTCCTCCGTATTCTTCTTCTTCTTCGCCATCTAGATCTGTGAATCTGTGATGGTGGGGTAAGGGCAGTGGCGGCGATTGCAGGGCTGAGGACGGCGGTGGCGATGGGAGAATGAAGATGGCGGCGACGATGGTGGGGATGAAGGCGGCGTTAGCGATGGTGAGTCTAGATCTATATTTCTTCTCTTCTCTCTCCCCCTTCTTTTTCCTCCATCTATGTTCTAGATCTAGACCATGAGCCCGGCGATGTTGAGACCGGAGGCGGTGGTGGGGTTGACGATGATTGTGAGGACTAGGGTGGTGGCGGTGGCGGTGAAAGTGGGGTGGCAGTGGTAGTAGCAGCGTCGGTGGTGGGGGAGGCTATGTGCGGTGGTAACTGCTCAGAGGCAGTGCAAGTAGGGGCATATTAGGAAAGTCAAGAGTCTTTTTAACACTCCTAAAAAACCGCGAAAAGTCAAATTGGGAACATCTTACACGGACGGAGGGAGTACTTTTTTGGTGTTTGGTGAAGCCAAAAGAGATCGAATTTGGTATCCCTATGTATCACAGATCCTTTAAATGAGGGTTTTGATATTTCCCGAATTTGGGAGATATCAATATAGGGGTTTGATATCTCCTCCAACTATTGACCATTTTCCGCCACAAGCTACTATTGTCACCGCCAACCATCCACGTTGTCGGCCACCCCACCCATCATTAATTAAACTATGATTTTAAATATCTCCAAATAACTTCATTTCAGATTTCAAAACCCATATCATTTCTTTCAAATTTCAAAACTCACATCATACCATACCTCCAAAACTCACCAAACGGACTCTTAGTTTCTTACAACATCTAACTATAAAGCTTAGCTCTGTCTCTTTGATGTAACGGGTAAATATTCATTTGTTTTAGCTTGTAAAACAAGTTGCAAAGAAGGATCAACTGAGGTTAAGAATATTGAAGAAAGCCTTTAGCTTGATTGACAAATATGTAAGTGTCTATTGATTTTTGTATGTTTATTTTAATTTCTTGCCATCTGATATGCTTTGTAGGTTATGTTACATGATTTTCATGTTGGTGTTGCAATATGAATTATGCAACGGATATGACAATATTTTTGTTAGTTATCTACTTTTTTTCTTTGTTGTATGCATGGGGTTTTTTTTGTTACTATTTTGTTGTTAAAACTTATGTGTATTTTACTCCCTCCGTCCGGGAAAGAACTTCCGTAGTGGACTTTTCACTTTTTTTAAGGAGTTGAAAAATATGAAAGTTTACCAAATTGCCCTTAATGAAAGTGGGTGGAGTATTGGGTGAGGTGTAATAAATAAAGAAAGGGTTGGTAGTTTTGGTATTTCAAATGTTAAAAAAAAGTAATGGAAAGATCTTTCCTGGACAAAAAAAGGCATTTGGGAAGATCCTTCCCGAACAGAGGGAGTATGTTTTAAGGTTTCTCGATAGATTGCTTAAAACCGATGAATGTGTTTTTGCATTCCTTAATTTAAGGTCTTCCATTTCGGCCGATATTTTGTACTAGTGTTTCATGCTAAACTTTGTAGCGTTTGAGACATTTTACTTTGACTATGCTTTTTAAATGTTTATGTTTTAATCATGTTATAAATAATGTTCTATCTTCTTTTTGAGTCAATTACATAAACGGTCCTTTATAACATGATATTTTCTATTTATAGTCCCCAATTATACAAAACTACATTCGTGGTCCTCAATATTTGAGAACTATTCCTTAATCAGTCCTTTGAGTACTATATGTAGAAAACAATATTTGGGTCAAAGGATTGATTATGGAATAATTCTCAAATATCGAGGACTATGAATGTAATTTTTTAGAATTGAGGACTATATATGGAAAACACCCTGTTATAAGAGACCATTTATGTAATTTACTTCTTTTTGATAAATTCTTATGGACACTTTAATGCTTAAAAAATGAGGCTTACACAATGCACCTTGAAATAGAAAATGCCACATATACGCATTATGCCATTTCGAATATGGGTTGTGATAAGAAGGGCATCCAACCTAAAACCTTGGCACTATCTAACTTAATTTTATCCTCACTCCAACAGTAACCTTCATATTTCACTTTATTAGAAAGAGAAAGTTATAAAAATTCTATTTGTACGTTTAGACTATCTACAGTTGTAGTCTATGTTTAGATTTTGTAAAGTCTAAAATAGTTTGTAATCTAAAATTTATCTTACCTGTTGGAGGGTGAAAAATAGGAACAGTTACATCTATTTAGCCATAATATGGAAGATGAAAGATCTGTTGGAGATGCTGTCACTACTATAGATTCAATTCCACCTACCTCAACTATTTTGGATTGTTGTGTGGATAATGATGATGATGATGGCGGTCTGATATGCTTAATGATGCTTATTTTTTGTTCTTCTCATAGAAGCACAAACTTATCTAATTCAACCTCTTCCCCACTCAGCCACTCCTGGCCCAAGGGTATACATATTACCAATTTAGGAAAATTTGCATAAATTAATTGTGATAAAATCACTAAGTACATTGTATTATGTGTCCGTCTTGTTTAAAAATTATATGCAACTCTTTTCGCGAGCATTTTCGTATACATCTATAGTACTAATGCTGCTTTTTTGCACCAATAGAACTCTGGATTTCTCAACAAAGATCAATGTATCCTTCTTTTTGAGGAACTGAATAATTACAGGTGCGCTCATGCTTCTATGGATCCTTACCCCAACAATAAAATCAATGAACCTGTGTGGCCAGTGGCCAGCATTGCAGAAATAACACTTACAATTCATTCTTGTCAAATGACTTTGACTTTGAAATGAAGCCCATCAACTGTCCCAAAAAAAGAGTCATATTTTGTCAGGGTACAACTTTTCAATTTTGGCATATGTACGACAATTGAAAATCATGAAATCACATTTATATGCTTAAAACACTTTATTAGTTTAATTAAATACATCATATAATTAATTTTGTTTGATAAAATATGGTTTTTTTGGTTATTTTTTTTGAAACATGACTCTTTTTGGGATGAGAGGGAGTATGGGTTATCTAAATTGAGTATCTCTTTTCATTCATTTTTTCATATAAAAGTTCCATAATTTATTATTACACTTGCTTAGATCATATGACTCTACTTGCACATATCTATTTCCGATGATAGATTGTGTTGCCTAGTTAAGTGTTTATTTTAGTCCTTCAAGCACCATAGTTTTAGTTGCATATTGTCTATTCTACTTCAGGACTCTGCCAAAAATATCAAGAGAGGATTTTGAGTTAATATTTGATGAGCTGGACGATAGCCGTGACTTCAAGGTACACCAATTTTTATTTATTATATCATTGTTGATGTTCATAGGCCATCCGGAAACAGCCACTTTGTGTTTTAAACTCAGGGAGTCAAGGGTCACACTGTGTACATCCGACCCCCCCACCTCGCAATGGGCGGGAACCTTTGATGCGCTGGGGTAATAATGTTGTTATTTTGTTGTTGGTTTTCTTTAGTGGTGATGGTGTTTTTATTGCCATTATATTCTAGTAGTGTGGTTGTATGTGTTCCAACATATTTGAGGCACATATTTTGGATCCATTGGCGTCTCTTCTGTGTATAAATTCCATATTCTTTCCAATTCTGGCATATTTCTCAGTAAGGATAAAGTACTTAAGTTCTATGAACAAGACTTTGAAAATCGAAGTATTACACTGAATGCATTGAAAAGTATGACTAGCTTTATGACATATACCACTGTTTTTTGTTTCAGTGGTGTTTGAATCTGACAATTCATAATGTTTGTTTTCAGATTGATCTGAATGAATTTGCTGATCTAACTAAAGCTATTGCTCTAAAATTTCAGAAGGGGGATTCTGTGAGTTGGATTTTCTTATTCTATAACATCCTTTTTTATGTCATTACATTGACAAGTATTTCTCTTCTCTCTAAATTGTCACCTTTCTCTTTTTGCTGCAGCCACCATGTTTTGAAAGGTTTTCAAATATCTACCATTCACCAACATCAGAGAAGTTAAGGGACTTTGTAAGAAGTGCAAAGTTTGAATACGTAATAGTGTTGATTCTCGTCATCAATTTTGTTGCTGTTGTAATTGAGACCACGGTATGCTCCAACAACCCATCTACAGTTGATGCCTGAAATTTCTCAAAGCATTTATATCTTTGTATGATTGTTCTATAATTGAAACTGGGTGATTTTGGACATAGTCATTCTTACAGTTTCTGGTTTTAGACCTACAGTTATAATTAACTTATCCGGTCATAACCTGACCTATCAGCGTCAGCTATCCACTTGTCTTCTTAAGCATAGGCTTAGACATGACTTTGCAAATACGTTCATTTATCAGTCCACAATCCTCTAGGTTTTTAATGTGAATATGTAGTTGCTTTATAGTAGCTTTACTTTTGTCATGGAATCTCTTTGCCGTTTGTCACTTTGTCCCCCATCCTCTGACTTATCCAATCACCATCATAAAAGCTTTTCAATCAACAAGCTTTTGTATCAGAAATGTAAGATCTGTAGTAAACCTTGAGTTCAGCAGTCCCAAAGCTAGCAAGCTAGCTACATTGTGTAGTTGGTTACAGAGTATTGTCTTACATATTTCTTGGCTATGTGATTGGGCTTGATCACGACTGGTGCTGATAATCTAATCCTATACATTTCAGCTTGACATAGAGGATAGTTTGGCTCAAACATTTTGGCAGAAGATAGAATTTGTGTTTGGTGAGGCCTTGATTTCATTTTTATGACTATCTCACTATGCACAGGTGTTGCAGTGCACAATTTAAGGGGTCTTGACTCTTTACTTATCTATTAGACTCATCACACTTTTTAGTACATAATTTTGATATCGTCTTGAAATAAGAATATGTGATACTCCGGAGTATTTTTCCCCCAATAGTTGGAACTCTAAAAGGAATAGCGATAGCTTGTGCCAGAGTCCCGCTAGACTTTCTCAGGCAATTGATGCTATACTATATTTTGTGCAACAGGGTGGCTTTATGTGATTGAGATGGCATTAAAAATCTACACGTATGGATTTAAGAACTATTGGAGGAATGGCCAAAACTGCTTTGATTTTATTATCACTTGGGTGATAGGTAGGTTTACGACTTTGGGCAAGCACATTATTTCCTCCCTTCAATCGTGTCTTAAGTAATTGCAACCATCAAATTTTTCTTAACAATTGCCAATTAACTTATGAAGTGGATGGTTGCTTTATGCAGTTATAGGAGAAACCACCACTTTTGCTGCTCCAAATGGGCTAACCTTTCTCTCAAATGGGGAATGGTAGGTATATTTCAACCTCTTTGTTTTTTTGTTTTGTTCTTGGAGTTGCAATGATAACCTTTTCAATATGGCATGTCGTAAATGATACTCCCTCCGTCCCAGAATAGACATTCAACATTCCTTTTTTATCCGGCCCAAAATAAAAGTTCATTTTCGTTTTTGGTAAGAGTAGATGACTATTATTATTATTATTATTATTATTATTATTATTATTATTATTATTATTATTATTACTTCTCGTTCAAATAAATTCCAACCGCACTCTTTTCACTTTTCAACATTTTTTTAAACTCCGTGTCCTGTGAAAGTAGACTTCTAATTTGGGACGAAGGTATTAATAGGAAGAGTCACTTACTTTAATAGTTGAGTGTTAAATATATTTAATATATATTTATGTTAAGTATATTTAATGTATTTATTATTATATCATTGTATTATTGGTAGTTACCTTTTGTATAGGTTTCCTTAATTATACTCCTACCATGATTAGGAGTCCCATCTTGTATATAAATATGGTTGTACTCCTACACAATTAATCAATTGAAAATATTCATTCTTCATGGTATCGGAGCCTATTCCAAAAACCTAATTTTTCCTCTCCTGCTCTCGGCTCTCTCTCTCTCTTTCTCGTCACTGCCTCTCTCGGCAGTAAGGGTGCCGCAGGCCACCTCTTCACCATTCAACCTTTGATCTCTCCTCCTCCCATGGATAACTCCGACAAAACAACGGACAAATCCTCTTCTTCATCATCCTCCTCCAATTCTCCCCACTTGGCATTTACGGCAATATCCAACGTCAAGCTCCACGTTCCCATACAATTGAGCTTTTCTCAACCAAACTACAAAAAATGGTGCCGTCTCTTCTTGCTTCTTGTTCGAAGATTCAATCTTCATGGCTTTCTCTCCGGATTCAGGACCCCCTCATCCGCCGACGACGACGAGTGGTTTCAACTGGATGCCTTGCTTCAAGGTTGGATTCTCTCCACGGTGACCGATGAGGTCTCCGACTTGGTCATCTCCTCTACTTCTACGGCCTCCGAGCTTTGGCAGGTTATTCATGATCTCTTCCATGACAATAAACCTGCTCGGGCGATGCAATTGGAACATCAATTCCGCACCACGGTCAAGGGATCCATGCCCATGGCTACTTATTGTCAAACCCTACGCAACATAGCGGATTGGCTAGATGATGTCGATGCCCCGGTCTCCGAATCGCAGCTCGTGCTCCAACTATTGCGAGGTCTACCGGACGATCTCCAAGCACAAACATCCTGGATGCAATTTCAACAGCCCCAACCCAACTTTCTCCAAGTCCGGTCGGCGCTGCTGCTCCTAGAACGTCAACGA